TTGGACTTATAACTCAATTTACCCGCCTAAATTCTCTGTAGCATGGCGCTGGACGGCAGAAAGTAGTTCGACTGCCCGATGACGTTTTACCAAATTATAGGACTTTTTTACCAGGTTTGTACAGATACCGTTGCAATTTTTTCGCCGTCTTATAGGAATCGTAATTATAGGAACCCGTGTTATAGGGGGGTCTACTGTAGTTTGTGTATTATATTCTTCTGATGGTAGAATAATATATTCTGAAAATATTAAGGAGGAATCCTAAAAACTTGTATATTTAAGTTAATGTGTAAAGTGTAGAATGCGATTTAAAAAGTTGTATAGGGATTGTATCACTAAAAAATGTTTTGATATATAAAGTATTGCATGAAATATAAATAAACTTTTTTGAATTGTTGATACATTTATTTTGATGAAGAATGACAAGAAATTTAAAGAGAAAATTGTATTATTTTATACTTATGATTTTTTTTTTGCTATTACATATTAAATGCATATTTTTTTTTGTTTATGCATATATAAATTCCATCCATAACAGCAGATTTATTTTTTAATAAAAATATACATTTATTTAAAATAAAATTTTATACTTTATTAATATTAATATAGCTATTATTATTGTTCATATTTTAACTCAATTATGTAAACTGAGAAAAATATAATTGTTTTTAAATAGCTTCAGCATTGGAGCAATCTTTAAAACAGCTTGGCACTGCAGCTGATTCATCTTTACTAAGAGATAAAATGTAAGTCAGTTTGCATATTTTTTANACCAATTATGTACAAAAAATATATTAACCTATCCCATGCTGAAATTCGTTCAAATCCAGCAAAAGTACCCTCTCATGGTCACGCCAGTGCTGTCAACTAAAACACACACACCAACAAAAATAATATTGGAGTAGCCCAAGACATAGCCAAAGATTGCAGCACTAGTGGAAATTTAACTGGAAAGCTTTCAGTTAATTGACATTTCGGTTAATTGATATTCGGATAATCGATGCTCTATTGTATGTTATTAATTGAAAACTTGTTCTGATGGGTTATGTTTGTTCAATCGTAGATTGAGTGATTTACTTTTTCAGAATTTGTGTTTGAATACTGAATTGTTTGAGTTGGGAACAATTTGAATACTGAGATATCACCTTATTTTGTTTATCATTTTTATGAATGATTACTTACCAATGATTAAAAAAAGGTTAATAATGCTTACCTAAAAATGTTTAAATTAAGTTTACTAAATACAAAGATTAATGTATAAAAATACAGGCCTCGGAGTCGCTCATTTTTCTCACTTATACTCACTTTTCTGAAGTATCCTCATTTTTTTCACTTTTGAGGTCATTTTCTCACTTTTCTCACTTTTTTGGTCATTTCTACGTGCTTAAAAATTAGGAATATGTGGGACCAATCAAAAATAGTTTTAAAGCCAGACGATCTGCCGAATTATCGAACTATCGGATTAGATTTTTATGGAAAAAAATACTCCACCCTAGCGGGACTCAAAATCACAACTGCCGCTCAGTGTTGTTAAGTTATCGTCTGTATTTATACGTAACTAGGTAGTCAGTAAGGCTATGTACACACTAGGCGTTTTTAAACGCGCGTTTTAAAGAACCAAGAGTTCTACATAGGCGTACACACTCAAACGTGCGCTTTTGGGCAAGCGCGCTTTAAACGCGCGTTGATAGATTTTTGTTAAAACGCGCGTTTTGCGGGCGTCAGCCGAGCGCTTTGAGATATATGTGCTGCCATGTTACTGTACATTCGATCGCGCGTTTTCGGGTAAAGTGGACGTACGTTGACCGAAATGGAGAACGATCATTTTGATACTGATCTATTTATTGATGAAATCTAAAAGAGACCAACCATTGTCAAATGATTTTATAGATATTTTAAAAGAATTAAAAAACTTGGGTTCATTTTGTCTTAGTTTTGGATACAACGTCGC